CCTCGGAAGGAAGGTTGGGCAATCCTACTTCCCTAGTGATACTGCCTCGGAAACCCAAGGAGGGGTCGCTATGAGTCGGGGCCGACTCGACAGCAAACAACAACAACAACAACAACAACAACAACAATTTGTTATTTGAAGATACTCAATGAAGGTAATTGCTCCCTTGATGAAAAGAAAACGATCATGAAAATATTGTATCTTCTACAATTTTTTGTAAATGGGATCGTTTTATACATTTTCTTTATAAAATACATGCTAATGTTGCACATAATAATTGTTTTAGTCAAAGATTTTCTCTCTCTCTCTCTGTCACACCACACACACACACACAATGGAATATGACCTAATAAATCTTTTCATTAAACAGAAATACGTGTTTTTCCTGCTACTGCAAATTAATTCGCTTCTTCAAAAAGTAGGGGATTGTTGTGCTTTCGGCAGATATTATAGTTACAGTTAACACTTTGGGAAAATCACACAAGTACCTCAGAAATTGTTTTAGTCATCTGTCTACAGAGCTCTGGCTCATACTCTTCTTCTTGCAGATAGTTAGTTAACACATCTTTCAAAATATGATCAACAGTAACCACAGGAAAATGTTTTGTAGGACCTGAAAACACAGACAGAATTTTTCTAAGAATTAATTTCAAACCATATCTGCCCACCCCATCTGCTAATCAAAAGAGTATTGAAACATGTAGGGACATGTAATCTCCTGGGTGGCCTGTATTTAAAGAAAAAAAAAAGTTGTCCTAATTAAGTTTCCAGCCAGGTTCTCTGGAGAAGACAAGAAGATAATGAATTTATACATTTATCAGACTAGTAAAAATGTGTTCAATACTGTTTGATATTCAAAGTCTCTTCCATTCCTGTTCCTAGTGTTAGTGACCCACCTCAAAGTCTCAACATCTTTCTACCTGGGTCCCACGCTTTTTATGTCTCCCTCTCACTACATACTCACTCTCCACACTGCACACAGTGATCACTCTAAAATCCACGTCTTGCTGTTATTCCTCCTCTTAACAAGTTCTGGGGTACAACCCCTGCTCAACCCTATACCCTCTTCTCCCATCACCATGGCTCCCTGTGCATGCTTCTCCAGTCTTCTGGATCCCACTGGGGTTTGAAAGGATAGAGAGACCAGGTGGTGCAAATTATTAATGCTTGGCTGCTAACTAAAAGGCTGGAGGTTGGAGTTTACTCAGAGGCACATTGCAAGAAAGAAGGCCTAGTGATCTGAAAAATCAGCCATTAAAAACCCCACAGAGCACAGTTCTGACATGCATGTGATCTTCATGAGTCACATTCAATTTGATGGCAACTTTTTTTAAAATGCACTTTACTGAAATATAATTTATGTACAGTGAAATACACAAAACTAAAGTGACATAGGTCAATGTATTTATTTTATTTTTTATTTTTTTGCAGTGTTCCCTCTCCTCTCCTCCCACCTCCGGCAACCAACAAAGGAAGTTTCCCTCCATATGTAAACCTTTCCTTGACCCTCCACAGCAACAAACTAATACTATATTCATCCTTCTGTGATTGACTTATTTCACTCAGCATAATGTTCTCCAAGTTCATCCATATTATGCAGTGTTTTGTAGACTCTACATCACTCTTTAGTGCTGCATTGCATTCCATTGTGTGTATGCACCATAGTTTGGTCATCCACTCTTCCACTGATGGGTACATAGGTTGTTTCCACATTTTTGCTATTGTAAATAGTGTGTTGATGAACATGGGTGTGCATATATCTGTTCCTGTCCTGGCTCTCACCTCTCTAGGATATATACCTAGTAATGGGATTGCTGGGTCAAATGGTATCTCCAATTCTAGCTTTCTAAGGAATCGTCATACTGCTTTCCACAGTGGTTGTATCACTTCACAGTCCCACCAGCAGTGTATGAGAGTCTCAATTTCTCCACATCCTTGCCAGCATTTGTTATTTTCTGTCTTGCTGAACCTTGCCATCAGTGCTGGGGTGAGATGGCATCTCACTGTTATTTTGATTTGCATCTCTCTGATGGCCAGTGTTTGTGAGCATCTCTTCATGTATTAGCTGGCCACCTGAATATCCGTCTTGGTGAAGTGTCTATTTATGTCCTCTGCACATTTTTCAATTGGATTGTTAATTTCTTTGCTGTTGTGGCATTGGAGTTTTCTATAAATCTTAGAGATAAGTCCCTTGCCAGATATGTAATTATTGGCAAACATGAATTCTTTGCTGTCATTTGTGTTAAGTGCTTTTTTGTGGAGTTGATTTCTTTGTTCCATATAATTTTCTATGCTGAGCTCGTTTTGTTTATGAATCGTGTTATTACTTCCTTCATTGCTATTGTTTTAGTATCTGCTAAATATTTGTGCTGGTCCTCTTTTTCATTTTGATGTGAAGGTTTATCATTTTTCTTTGAGGTTATCCCATGATGTATAGTTTTCTTCCCAAGTTTAGAAAAGTCCTTTCTATCTTGTAGTTGTCTTGATTTCCCTACCATCTATAAGTTCTGTAACAACATGGTTTTTCCCCTTTTTGGTTTCTAGTTTTCCTCGTTTGTCAATTGATGTCTCTGATTCCCTGTTTACAAACTTGTAGGCTTATTTACTTTGGATAATTCCATAGCTGGGTTGGTTTATGGGTTATGTCATCATGTGTGTTAATGGTCAGTTGTTGTTGGCTTTTATGGCTTCTCTGTCCAAAGGGCTCCCTTTAACATTTCTTGTAAGGTTGGTCTGATTTTAACAAATTCTCTTAATTTCTGCTTATCTGGAAATGTCCTAATTTCACCATCATATCTGAGGGACAATTTTGCTGGGTACATAATTCTTGGTTGGAAATTTTTCTCTTTTAGGGTTTTATATATACCATCCCATTGTCTTCTCACCTGCATGGTTTCTCTTGAGAAATCCAAGCTTAGTCTTATTGGTTGCCCTTTGTAGGTAACTTTTTACTCTTCCCGTGCGGCTTTCATGATTCTTTCTTTGTCTTTGGTTTGGTGAGTTTGATATGATTTGTCTTGGTGATTTTCTTTTGGGCTCTATCTTGTATGGGGTTCATTGGACTTCCTGAATGGATATATTCTCATCTTCCATTGTACCAAGAAAATTCACTTCCAACAAATCTTCAATAATTTTCTCTATGGTTTTGTTTCTTCTGGATTCTGGAATTCCTGTGACACATAGGTTATTCCTTTTGATGGTATCCCACCTGAAACTTAGGCTTTCTTCATTTTGGTTTGATCTTTTTTCAAATTGATCCCTTTCCAAAGAAGTATTCAGGTATTTGTCTTCAATCTCACTCATTCTGTCTTCCAATGATTCAGTTCTACTCCTTTGCCTATTCAGTGTCTTATCTATTTCTGAAAATTTAGTATTAATCTTCTGGATTTATGTGTGAAGATTTTGTATCATTTCTAATTTTTCATTATTTTGTCATTTTGTTCTTGTACTGTCTTTTGAAATTGTTGTAGGGTTTTCTCTGTGTTTTCCTCAATTTTGTCAGTGTTTTCCTTGATCTGCCTCTCTATTCATTGAAGACACCTAAATGTAATTCTTTTAAATTCATTGGGAGTTCCAATGCTGCATCTTACTCAGGGATGTGTTTTGGGTCTGTATCCTGTTCCTTTGTTTCTCCTGCTTTATCTTGCTTCTTTGTGTGGACTGTGCTTTTCTGTTGTCTCTGAGACATTCTGACGTTTTTGTGTTTATATTTAATTGGTGATTTTATGTTGGAGTGACTTGCCTATGATTTTTGTTTTCTTTGTATGTTTGTACATTATCTACGTAAGCAGGGTACTGTGCTTTGCTCCTCAATTTGCTAGCTGACAGCACTCATACACTCATCACCTGTCTCCTTTCCTATTGTCAGCCTCTCGTATGTCCCTGCTGTCCTTGGTAAACAGAGCCTATTCTTAGGTCCTTGGAATCCTAATGAGAATGCTGTCACTTTAAAATCCAAAAGGGCTGCCACTTTTAAAGATTCAAAATGGCTGTATCCTTGGTCACTTTAAATATCCAAAATGGCCACCACTTATAAACATTCAAGATGGCTGCGCCCTCAGTCTCTTTAAATATCCAAAATGGCTCCACACATAAACCATTAAAATGGTTGCACCCTCTGGACAGTGGAAAGTCCATAGCTCAGGTTGTCTCCCTCCTTATTGTTTCCCTTCCTGGCTATAGCCCATCAGCACAGTTGCCCCTGCAGCCTGTGGCAACCAAGGCTGATCTTTAGGTCAAGTGTCAGGTCCCAACACCACTTGGAAATATTCAGGCTGTTGGTCCTGTCGAGTAGCTGACAGTCAGCAGCTCCAATCATCTCCATACTCCCTGTTTTTGTTCAAGTTTTTCCACTAGCTGGTGCCTAATCCACTTCTGTATAGTTCCTTTCAAAGCTCAGGGCTCTGGGATTATCTTCCGTATCTCTGTCAATTGGTTTCTCTTTTCTTTGCTGAAGAGGGTCTGTGTTGGTTGTCTGCCTATTCTTCCATCTTACCGAATGTCCCAATCTTTTCTACTATTTTTTTTTCCCCCAAAATGGAACACCCTTCTTCACCTTGCTTGTCTGAAAAATACTATTAATTTTGCAAGGCCAGCTCAAATGTGTTCTTCTCCAGGCAGCCTTTCACCTCCCTTTTGGTTGAAACAATCACGATTCTCTGTACTCTCAATACACTGGGTCGCCATTGCTACCCTGGCTCCCAACACTCTTGAATATATAGCCAAGGCACTCTTACCTCTCTTCGCAGTGAACTAGTAAGCAGGGTTATATTTTATTCTCTTCCTGCTAAAGGTATAAAAAACTTTTCACACATAATTTCTGAACATAAATAGAATTAAATATTTCATAGACAATTATCACAACACAAATAAAGGCTATATTTTATTGAGCATTTTCTGTGTTAGGCACTGTTCTATGTATACTTATTACCTTATACAGTGTCTCAATAATTTGGAAGTGAATACTATTGCTATCCCCATTAAAATATGTTTTTAATTTAATATTAGTGAGATGATGAGTTAAATGCTTAAAAAAATGAATTTTCAGAGGTTTAAGTACATTGAGAAACTTGCTCAAGATCACACATGGGGTAGAGCTGGGATACACATTCAGTTTTACTTAACTAAAGAGTTTATATTTATAATCACATTGAGTCCACATTCACAGCAGTAGCTTGAGATGGGTCTGCTTCTCCCTGCACTTGAGGAATCCTTCGTACACTGCCTGAGGACATTAGCCTCCTCATCGCTCTGGTGATATGCCCCTGTCATTACATGTACATGTGTGAAGGGACTGGCAATCATTATTTGAAGAATTGATATGGAAGAAGGGATAAGATCAATAATTATATCTGATTCTACTTAATAGTTAAGCAGCATCACAATAAACTGAGAAAAGACTGAAGTTCTCAGTGATTTCATATTATTTGGATCCACCATCAGCACCAATGAAAGCAGCAGGCCAGAAATCAGAGGATGTAACGTACTGGCAAATCTGCTGCAAATGACCTCGCTAAAGTGCTAATGAGTAAAGATGTCTCTTTGAAGACTCAGGTGCACCTAACCCAAGCCATAGTATTTTCATTCACCTCATATGCATGTGAGAGCTGGACA